TAACAAGAGGTGTTGATACTGGCAGTTTGAAAATTTAAAAAAAAAAATCACTGGATCCAGATGCATCTTACATATATTTTTAAACAAATTAAATGTTGATCTTTTTTAAAAAAGTGTCCCTATGAGAGGACTTGAAAGTTGCCAATGTACTATCAGGTTTTAAGAAGGGATTCAGAACTGCTGGCTAGTTTTAATTAAGAATGTACAAAATGTTCCAGGCCTGAATCTTTCCATACGCTGAGCAGATGTTCTTGAATAGTTGATGCCTAATCTGAACATGTGGACAAAAGTGTTTCAGGGAAGTGAAACTGGGCAAAATCCAAGATTGAATGAGTTGTCCTTGGTGACAGCATTGCAAAGAAGCAATGGTGGCAGTGGAGAGAAAGAAAAGAAGGTGCTTTTGAGACTACGGGGCTGGATGTACTTCTGGCTTGAAACAAAACCTTTTCCATTTTGCACACACCTTTAGTTTAGACACGTCTTGCAGATGTAGAATCAGTATGAAAACATAAATCATTTAACATCCTTTATTTTCTGAGACATTTGGACTGGTTTGATTCAACAAGTATTATGTGCTTGGACTTCCTAAGGGTTTCTGACAAATTTTTAAAAGCAGAGTTCAAAACTACAAGTAGGTTTTTCTTCTTTGTGATTCTTAAACAGCCATTTATGTATATTATGCCACATCCAGTAGGAAAACTTTGAAAAATTTGACATCCTATAGGAATGTTGCCCTTTATATTGCAACACTCTGGCTCAGTATATACTTTTGTTATTGTTTTCCCTCTTAACAGTCTATGGTGCCCCAGAAGATGGAGAGCTGGAAAGAGAACAACCTTTCTCTCTAAAAAATCAGCTGCTGGGTAAGATATACATTGGTACTAATTTATCTAAATATGTAATACTATGCTGAGAAATCATAAGTATCTGTAAACAGTGCTGGTTAAGCTTTCTTAACAATGCAAATTATTATTTTAATGACTACAATGTATTCCCATAGCTATTATTTGTATCTAGTTTGCATTCTACATACATACTTGGGATTCCTGCTGAGCAAACATGCCTTAATTAGCAGTGGTGTGATTGCATACACAGTGGTTCTTAAACTGTTTGACCCAGTTACCCCTTTACCTGGTCTGGAATGTCATTGCCCCCACAAAAAAAAACACTGCTGTTTTACACAAATGCTTTCAGCAGTGGCAGTCCCAAACTGGATCCTCAGCTGACAAACAAGCAATTAAAAATTGCCCCATTACCCCAGTATATGCCCAGATTACTCCTTGGAGGTAATTACCCCCAGTTTAACCCCTAGTATAGACAGGGAGAAGTCTTTGAAACCACCACCCCAATCCTTCTAGAAGATGTAATTGCTTAACTGTTTGATAAAGAGTGCTTTGCCAACCCTGATGCATGTTGCAAAGTATCCTTTGCACAGCCCTACTCTTTGTAAGATAGGAATGGTTTTTGTGGGGGATATTTTAACTTTATAATACAATCAGCATTGTGACTTCTGCTTTTGGCTTTAAAGGTAGTTCATCATGCATGAGTAACTTTTGTTATGGAATGGCCAATTGCATAAGCACTATGGGCATGATTCCCCGATACCCTGAAATTTGTTGTTACAATTAAACATGCCAAAGTTATCAGCCAACCATATTACCTTAAAGATGCTCACTTACTCTCCAGTTTTTGTAGTCAGTGCACCAAGATTTGAATGGAAATGGATGTGTGCTTTCCCCCTTAGGGGTGTGTTTTTGTGTGTGTGTGTGTGTGTATTTGATTCAATCCAGTGATACTGACTAAATTCATTAAAATCAGTGGGAAATGTTACTCTTGACTAATTTGTCCAATTGACTTCACTAGGTGTACTTTGGCTGTAATAAATTCTAGATTCAGCCCGCTTTGTTTATAGAACTTTTGTACTATGTTAGTTTTCCTTTTTTTTTTTTTAATTTCTTAAGCTTTGACTTTTAAGTGTCCTGACAAAGCTGACCAAAAGCCCATAGAGAAGAAACTTCCAGGTAAGGGAAAGGATGTCTGTATTCCATATTTTCTGCATGTTTCAATTATTTCAATCACTTTTGTATGTATTACAGTAAGGTGAGTAGTAACACTCCTGAAGATGTTTTTTTCCTATCTGAAGTCACTGCAAATGCAGTAGCCTTCAAAAGTAATGCAAGCCAACATCTGTTTTGAAGCAGAACAAGAGAAATCAATATATGGAAATTAGGCTATTGTAGATTTAATCCAGAGCATTCTAATTAGATTTTTTCTATATCAATAAGGATGGTTATCCATCTTTATGGTCCACATAGATTCTTATGTATAATGTATAAAAGAAAATAGACATCTGTCCCTAATTTTTTTTCATGTCAGTGGAAAGGTGCATTTTGTTTAGAAATGTAAAGCTCATTTTCAGTAAAATGTCTGGTAAAAAGATGTATTCCCTCTGATTCACTGCATTGATAATTATTATAATAGAATGAGATATCCATAAACCATTTGACCCTTGTATTTTGAAAAGTATTTATTCAAAATAAAAATCACATTTATCACAAGTTGCATAAAATGATACAGCTTTTTCAAAAAGTTAATAGAAAAATACTTTAAAGTACATTTTTGACAATAGAGGAGTAACTCACTATTGCTGTGCCTTCAGATAAAGCTTTAAATGAAATAAGGGGGAAATTACCCAGCATAGCCAATCTCTAGATGGGTCAGATTTATCATACTTTTACCCCTATAACTCTTACTATAAAAATACACCTTCGTGTTCATATTACTAATTTGAAATACAAGTGCATAAGATTAATGGTAATCTGGACAACTTAGCACATAAAGATTTGGGGACCTCATACCACGAAGTCTTTCTGCAGAGGAAAAGGCTTCACTCATAGTGTTAAAGTACAAAAGAGCTAATGCCATAAACAGTGTTTTGAAGGTCACTTAGGTCAGTGTGTTATAAAGTAGAGACTTTATAATTTGGTATGGTTTGCTTAGGAGTACTGTTTTAATATCAAATTGAAATTGTTCTAATAATTGGTTCCTCTGAACTGCAGGAGCTCAACTCCCACAAATCTATTTCAGTATCAACTTTTGCTAGAACTTCAATTGCTGTGGCATCAAGTGTATCTATCTATAGTTAAATAATTCTCTCTTTAATGCACAGACTCTATGACTATCCAGAAGGTCAAAGGATTGCTGTATCGGCTACTTAAAATTCCAGGCTCAGAACTGAAACTATCATATGAAAGTTCTAAAGTAAGCTCAAATTCAGTAATGCAACAATACATGAATTGAGACTTTCCAGAATAATACAACTTGTTACACTGCTAAAATCAATACACTGCACTCTAACGTTGGATGATTGATTTCTTTAAAGAAAAGCAGTATTATTGTTTTGAGATTAGCTTCCTTTCCTTTTTATTCCATCTTAGTCTTTTAAAAATATACAAGATTAAAATGTGCAAATCTAATATCTATCTGAATCTTTTTTTTTATCCTAGATGAAAGGCAAAGAATTTGAATTGGACAATGACCTAAAGCCCTTGCAATTCTACTCTATTGAAAATGAAGACTGCATTCTAGTACGATGGTAAAAGCTGCCTTTAATACATTTTGAAGAGTACTTGCACACTGCTAGCAAAGTTTATAGGCTGATTTTTAATTGTATTGTTGGGCAAAACCTTTATAAAAATGTATCACTGTTTGGTAGAGAAGCTTTTGTATTCTTTTTTTTTTTAATCATGCCTCTTTTGAGAAAATGAAAGCTTTTACCAGCTTCAAATAAAAGTTATTCATTTGTGCTACACTAGTAACTTACAGAAATCAGTGGGACTCTCAACAAACCTTCCACTCACTACTATACAAATAACATATTTGAGAGAATTAAAAGCTGAGGTATTTCATTACCAACCCATCCCAGTAGCCACAGAATACCAGAAAGCATAAAAATCACTTAACAGAAAAAAAAGGTAGTATTTAATATGCATATGGGAGAAAGGGCTGCTGTCTTAGTCCCTCTACATGTTGGCTGAAAGTACACAGAGGATAAATAGAATTACTACAGCATCTAACTTCCTTCTTTACAGGAGTTACGTGATAATATATCAGTATTCCCAGCAAGAGGCACTGTTTTCCTCATATTTGAAACAGACTGAAATCAAAGCATCAGTCTGATCCACAATTTATAAGAAGCCAACACATGTGTGCAGTCTGCCTCTGTTAAGTGACTTCTACAGCAAGGCATACGGGCAGAGAAGTGCAAATTTAATTATGCAATATGTACAGTATTGTATCTGCCTTTCTCAATTTAGCCTCAATCCCTTGCTCTTATATACACTAAATCCATGAAGAGTCAAGTTTATCTACTTCTGTAATATATTAATAAAGAATTCATATTTATATTTGGCTTCGTAAAAGAGTATGTTCAAAAATGAAATGTATCCATTTATTAAAAAGGGGATATGTGTGCAAACATAGCTCTAAGGGCCATTTCACACAAGACAAATTATCTACATGAAACACTTCTTTGAAGAATGTGTGAAGCTTGTCTGTAGTTTACTGCCATACTGAAATGAACATACACTGTATGTAACCAGTGGAATAGAAACATAAATCTCATGAGTATGGCGACATACTCATACATTTGTCACCAGCAACAGACTATATAGGAGGCTGATGGAACATCTGTTTTGAGGCTTTCCCTTCCTTTCCTCTCTAAAGTTTTCCTTAGAGTGTTTGCCACCCTTCATCTTTCTTCACATTTGCAGGGGTCTCCACAGTGTTCCTTTATTCTCCAAAGTTCTGCAAGCTCCTCTGGAGAATACTGAGGAGAGGACAGCATACCACTCTCACAAGACTTCTCACACAACCAGAGATTGTCCTGTTTTAAGAGAAAACAAGACAGTGTAAACACTGCTACACTATGTAGGCATAGCTTCAAAACCAGTTTCAGGAGACTTGATTTAGATGTGTGTTCTCCTGGGATATATAATTTAGAAAGAGAGAGATAAAAAATAACAGGTAGGCAAGAATCCAAATTTACATATGTTGATCTGTCCTAGTTTAGGCAAATACTGGCAAGGTAAGCAAACAATTCGAAGAAAGGAAAGAAAGGCAGAAGCAATATTTTATTCAAAACTGATTTTTGCACTGTCCTTCCATAAGGTATATTTAAAAAGCTGGGTAAAACAAAACAAAAATATCACACAAATTCCTTATGATGCGGGCAACATGTTAAAGAATAAATCTAGCTTTAATTATTAGTTTACATGACGTTGCCTGAATAAAGATGAAGTTCTTGAGATACAAATCTTAATTTGGGTAAT